GAGGAGGAGGAGGAGGAGGCAGTGAGGATGATGAAGGGGAGGTCGAAGCTGGTGATACTCACCGGGCACTGGCGGCAGCTCCTCCCTCACAGGGCAGCACGGCAGCATGGCAGCACGGCAGCACTTCAGCACGGGGCGGCACTTCGCAGCACTTCGCAACGGCACTCCGCGCAGGCCACACACCCACCCAAGAGGCCAGGCAAGCCCACACAGAGTACAACTGGAAACAGGTTTCGAAAATTCGAAACCTCGCGCTCTGGCCTTGAGCGCGGCCCCAAAAAATTTTTTTTGGCCTTGGCAACAATTTTGGCGGGGGGCCTCCGATGTGTCGTTTCAACCCCTGCCATTTTTTTTTTTTTCGGGGGGGGGGGTGGTCGGGCCGTTCCCCGCACACCTCGTGCGCCGGACGTAGGGAAACTCGCGCACGAGGTGCGCTTGCATGTATGGTTCTGGGTGATTGGGGATCATTCCATGTGTATTGTGACAGGAAGAAGCAATTATTGATTTCCAATCAAGTGTGCTTGTAATCCAATCAGATACACAGTCACGTGTCTGAGTGATTTCCGCTCATGTGTATGAGGGTGAAATTGGTTAAGTTCTGGGTGACTCTTACACAGTTGAATTTCACCACTTTTGTGTCCCACATTTGTTGTACCTGGCTGTCAAATGAGCTCTTAAACCACTAGTACCTTTGGCGAGTGGGAAAATAGTGGGCCTCGGGTGGGCCCCCGACCTTTTAGGAGGCCGAAACGAGACGACAGCTGCCGATCAGCAGCCATCGTCGGGCCCGGCCTCCAATTTTTTTAGGAGTTTGGGAAAACTGCCAGTTTTACCTATTTTCCCATCACTGGCGGAGGTACTACCGTCTTCACCCGAATAGAACGCCCGCTCATTATAGCCGTATTTGGTGCACTTTTCTATCCAGATACAGCTATAATAACGAGGCGTTCTATTTGGGTGAAGACGGTAGTGTTTTAAGTTTTAACTATTCATTGTGCTTGGGTGGGTTGCTTTTCTTTTTTTTCCTTTTTTTCTTTCTTTTTTTTTGCCTCGTAAGTTTTTTCACCACAAATTGTGACATGAATGTCATGAACATTGAACACTTCGCTTTCTGCAGAATTTCAACTATCTGACTTCTCTTTTTTTTTCCTTTTTTTTCTTTCTTTTTTTCCTTTTTTCTTTCCAACTACCTGACTTCTCAATTGACAGTTAGGGTGTATTGTCAGAGGTTAGCAGCTGAATACAAATTTGGTTTTCATTTCCCTTTTTTTTTGGCCATTGGTATGTTCAATTTTGTTCCTGTTCTGACTTTGCAGGATCATGATGGATATTCATCAATAGCGACGGATGGAAATGGTCTAATTAAGAGATCTCTTCTGGAGAAAGTGGAAGGAAAGGTGATCAGGGGAATGTTTGGCAGGAAGGTGAATTCGGCCCCTCAATGATCTTACCAGCCATCCTCTGAAGCTCACTCCTCTTTGTATCAATCCAGATCCTTGTTGGTTGATTGTGAAACTCCGGGACAACCGTCGATTCCACATGTTCATCCAGAACAACTTGCAGATTTCTAGATGTCACATGAAAGCGTGGTGAGCAATGCATGAGCTCTGATTGACAAGGCCTTTCACCGTTGTTTTGTTCTGTTGGTAGGTTTGGCACGATAATGTGTGGCTCTTGTTAGTGCTCGTTTAACGGAGTCTGAGTATTGGCTTCTCTGGGTAAAACATGAGGTCACTCTATCCATTTCCAGGCCCAATCTTCCATCCTCTGTGCCACCAGTTTCCAACAAAATGTGTCATTGCATGTGCTCCTGCCAGGACTTGGGGCATACTCACACCAGGACTTTTTCTACTAAGCTGAGGGCGAGATTGCGCTTAGATTCATCTAGGTCTGGTCATAACTGCGGTCATATACATCTACAGAAGGGCTCGTGTGAGTATGCGCCCTCATAGCAGTGACCTGTTACCCTCAGCGGGCGAAGTCTGCGAAATCAGACTGAGAACGGATGAGATGTGTGTTCCGGGCTGAGGAAACCATGTTCTTCTACGGATTTTTCGGCTTGGATGTCCTTCTTTGCCTGTGGATAGGTGTGAGTTTTGCAAGGGGACTAGGATGCAAAAGGAAGGAGCTTTAAGGATAAGTCTGCTGTTTTGGCACAGATGACAAACAAGCATGAAACTTTGAAAGTTTGGGACCCGTTTAGCGATTGTTTTTTCAGCAAGTCTGTGGTAGGTCTGAAGGCTGCTGGTAGATTGCAGTAGAGATAGCCATGCTGTGGTTGTCTGGTACTGCATGAAGCCGGACATAGTTAGTCACAGCTCACTCTTCGTTGCCGCCAAGCTGCTAGAAGTGTTAGTGGCCTCAAGAAGAGGGAGATGGTGTGGAGGAGAAGATGAGGCTGAACCTGGCTATTGTGGATGGCCTCCTGGCCATGGGCTAAACCGGAAGGAGTTTTGTGTTGCATGTATCCGAGATCCAAGAGAGAGAGAGGCCAGGTTCAGGCCCGCACCTAGATGCGGGCCCGGTTCAGACCCGCATCTGCAAGAAGGAAGCAGAACAATGTTAGTTACTTGGACTTCAGCGCACAGGAAGAGAGGGTCTTGAGGGCAGAGAACGCCCTTGAGGGAGTGAGATGAGAGAAGCGTAATTCTTCAGTGAATAGAGGGGCTACTTGTCTATTTTTTGTTGGTGGATGCTGGGAAAGAGACTCAGCATCCTTTTTCTCTTCTTTTCTAAGAAGTCAGTTAATTGTTTGCTGAAAACTGGGTTCAACGTCTCTCACATGTTTACTCACCCAACACTTCACTCTGTTGTGGCCAAGAGACCCGGAGGCAGCGGCATTGATTGCTTCCTCGGCAGAAAGGATTTACCCCTGAAAAACGGGTTCAGTGTCCCTCACATTCATACCCATACTCAACGCCTCTTTCCGTTATGGCCAAGAGATCCTGAGACGGCAACATTGATTGCTTCCTGACAGATTTACCTCTGCGCACCCCTATTAACGACAGTTACGACACATACACCCCACCTGTTCTGGGGGGAAGCAGTTTGGTTGCTTATCACAGGCAAGCATGGACAGCAGGAGAGAAGGAGCAAAGAAAAGGCACAGCCTCATACCCCTGTCGCCCTAGACACGATGCAGGAGGGAACTGGAGGGGCTGCGCAGTGTCGCATGCCTGTCCCCACCCGTGTCTCGCACAGTGGCCGGGCAACCTTTACTCAATACCCAGACGCACACACTGTGGGTCCCTGGGGGGCTGTTTAGGGGGCCTCTAGTCTCCAGGCTTCCCCTCACACACAATCGTTTATCCAAGGTGAAGTTTACTACTATTGTCAATCCGCACTATTTACCACTTACTCCTCCCATCCCCAGTGGACCAGCCTCCTACACCTCTCACCTTCACCTGTTTGAACCCACACTTTCACAACTACATAGATCCGCTGTTCCCAAGCCACTACCCTGCTGTAATCCCCTAAATGCACTGTACTCCCATAAACGCCGGACTGTTCCCCTGTATCGCTGGTATTCAAATGCACCCAACGATCCCACATACCCACACACTACTGACAATCTCTCAGATTTTTCCTTATATGAATCTTCCTCTGCACTACCCCCTCCCTCCCTTCCTTATTTGCAGGGGTGGCCCAAGCCCCCCTCCCTCCTCCCCCCCCCCGCCAGGAGCCGTACTACATACACAGGCCTTTATTCCCCACATCTGAATCTACCTGTGACGGGGCGGAGGTAGAGCAGCGAGGTCGGGGAAGAGAGAGGAGTGAGAGCACACACACACACTCACTCAACTCGACACGGACTCGACACGACTCGACGGACGCAGACACAAAGTGGCCAAGTCGCAAAGTCGCAATCTTGGTTCCGTACACAATGTTGCAGCAAGTCACACTGAAGCACAAGCACTGAGGCCGAAAAATGAGTCCCCGAACTCAGCTTGAGTCCGGTCTTAAGTACCGGACTCGAGTTGAGTCCGAGGGCAAAAGTGCAATTTGCCTCGGGGCTGAACTGAAAATCGAAGGTCTGAGCCTGAGCGCCAGAATGCCGGATGGTGCCGAGTATGAAATCCGAAAGTGGCAGAGGCGGGATTTGAGAACGGGCGCTAACTGCAGAGGGCGCCAACAGTTAGGAACTGGAGATCAAAAACTCCAAAAAAAATAGAATAGCAGCCTGGCGGGTGGTACGCCACAGACCAGGGATCGAGCCCTGGCTGAGGCCGTAACACTACCACTAACTATAGTACACGGTGACCTGGGCCCTACTCCTCTACATCCACTGCATATTTCTGCAAAGTCGAGCCAAAGATCAGTCTGCCTGATGCCAGGTCGTTCTTGACCGGGCCTGGGTAATCTCCTGACACCCACCAGAACTTACTGTCGTCACTCCCTGACTTCTGTTTGCATCTCAGATATTCTGCCAGAAGCACCACTCGAAGGTTCTCTAGCGCCCTACTTCTTATGACCAGCATTATGACCTCCTTCCCCTGTCTGATTCTCTCATTTCGAAGCGTCCATATTGCCCAGAGGACAGCTCCCCTGACTGCGTCTGCAGCAAACAACCGAACCTTGTCCTTCCAATTGACAGTCATCACCGTACCCAACAGGATAGCCACATTGTCTTTTTCAGTGACCATCCACGGGGAAGGCTCTCTTTCATCTCATCGAACCACTGTCTCCAAAACTTTGATACCTCCAAACAGTGAACAAAGGCATGTGGGATGGTTTCCACCCAGCCACACCCTGGGGCGGTGCAGTGCTCATCAGTGTGTCTGCTCTTGGTGGCCAGCCACTGTGCCGTCGTCCGGATTGCAAGGTGGTTCTCGCAACGTTTCTAACTTTTGCTGTTTGCTGTGTTTCTCGGACCCTGCACCTCTGTGCTGCTCTTCTCAGACTTACCTGGCTGCCTGAGTTTCTCGTGATCCCCTCGAGTTCTGTCACTGCCGCCTACTGTCTTGGTCCTTCTGCGGCCCCTAACTCAGGTTTATGTGATAAGGTGCTTGTCTGATGACTGTTCTTTCTCTTTTCCCCGTTACTTTTTATGTTTTCTCCCTTCCTACTGGACAGTCGTCTATGGCTGTACCTTTGTCTTTGTATGGGCCACATCAGGAATCAGCCAATTTCTCGTTGTTCCTCTCCTCTGTTCTATTCCTTGCCCTTCCCTCAGATACTTTCAGGTATCCAAAGGAGTCTGTCCCCCTAGGACAGATCGGCGAGAGTCTGTGTCCAGCTCTTTCTCAAGAAGTTCCCACATCTGGTTGCCGGAAAAGACTGCGCGTCGTCGCTATTGACATTATCCGAGATGTTCTTCGCTATGCAAGTTATTCGACCTGTTCGTCGCTATTGAAATTATCCGAGTGGATTTGATGTCTCTGTCTTGAGGAAACTGTTTACTTACTTCATGACGGAGCGGTTGGGTTCTGTTAAGCTGTCCGAGTCCCTCTGTCCTGCCAACTCTTAAACCTTATCTTATCTTGCTCCATGGCAGCTAGGACTCCCCGATTGGGATATAGTTGCTCGGAAGCTTTCACTTGCTCCTCCTTTTTGTTGTGGCTCTTCTGTATTTTGAGAAGTCAGTCCTTCCAGCTGGCCATAATCTCTGTTTCTACTATCCCTTCGATCTCATTGTGCTGTTCTCCGATGGATACTTTGGTTTTGCTGAGGGTGACCTGCAATCTTCCCTTCCCCTACTATTGCCTTGGGCCAGATTTGGAAGAACCATTTTCTGAATGTAGTGTGCCCTAGTGTTCAGAACATGTGAGACGATACCTTGGGCAGTATTCAAAGGTTTTTTTTTTTTTTTTTTTTTGGACCATTTCTCGATTTATGTGTGTCATCCTTACGCAGGGGCCATGCTAATCTTCTCTGTATCGTTCCAATTTTAACGGATGTCCCGAAGGACAGTATTCAACGGTTGTGTTTGTGGTGCTGGCCTAAATTTCTTTGGCGATTCCCCATAGTCCGGCGGCCTTTGTGCATGTTACGAAACAGTGTAGCAGCCTAGCAGGCCTTCCTTTGCCGTGTGCTGCACACACCCTGCACAAGGAACCCTGCTTCAGGCCTCAGCGGCCTATGTCTGCTGCCATAAATGTGCCCCAGGCCGCCCTAAGTGAAGACGGGCCTGGAAATTGACACCGGCCCTATGGCTGACAAGGGGCCCTTTGGTCAGTTGACAGGTGTTAGACCCTGTAGCGAACTGGTAGGCCCAGCCTGCCAGTTCGGTACAGAAGCTGGGACCTGGTCACTGTCCCAGCAGTCCGCAGGCACAATGTTACATGCTGCGCCTGCAACAGGCTGCACAAGCCATTTTCAGTCTCGTGTCCTTTTCAGCCTGAAAGCCTGAAAACAAGGGCCTACAGGCCCCATGTCATTTCAGCCTGGAAGCCTGAAAACAAGGGCCTACAGGCACTGTGTCGTTTCAGCCTAAAACAGGGCCCTCCAGGCCCTGAGTCTTTTCAGCCTGAAACGGAGGGACATTTTCAGGCCCTCATAAGATCGACCTGCCCTGAAACTTAGGCACCAGACCAGGGTTTTAGCACAGGTCATTTTGGGCCTGTTTTAAAAGACAACCTTTGGTTGAGCTTCAACGCCAGGGTCTGGCACGTTTTGGCATTGGCAAGAGCAGCTTCCTGGACGGGCCAGCACTATATAGGACTGGCCCGCCCTGCAGGCAGCAGATAGTTCATAGGGACTTCCCAGGCACTTCACGTGCAGTTCAGGAGGCAGGAGGTAGTCTTCAGGATTCGGCAGCAGCACTCTGGAGGAGCGCTGCAGTTGTAGTAGTAGCGTTAGCAGTAGTCTTCAGCGCTGGGCGCTAGTAGTCACTAGAGTAGTACTGGAGAGAGAGAGAGATTGGGTGGAGACCAGGGAGACTTATCTGCAGTGCCATAGCTCCAGCTTCGACTTCGAGGTACCTGCAGCACAGCGCCATCTTCACAGGTTAGTACCTGGCACATGAGAGAGAGAGAGAGAGTTCTTCTTCTTCCTCTTCTCAGTCCACCATCTCCCTCTCACCCTCTCGCTACCTGACTTCACTGCATCAGCAGAGTACGAGAGAGTGGGATTGGTGACATTTGGATCCAGACTCGACATTGGGCTTCAGACACTTTGACGGGAGATTATTTGTGACTTGTAACGAAGACTTGGTGTTGACGACATTCCCATCTCTCCCCCTCTTCTTCGTCTGCTTCCCTCCTCTTTGTCTGTGCATGATCTGGACCTGGCGCATTCTTCCTGTGTGTAGCGCCAGGCCCCTTCACACCTTGTGGTGAGGATGATGTATGTTTGGTCTGCGTTGCGACATTGATTGGGCTAGTCATTGGTATTCTAGCATTCTGCTGCACTGTCTTGCACTACGTGATCGAGGTCAGTCCCGGTCAGGTCAGGACTTATATCTAAGTCTTCCACTGCGCTACAAAGCACCATTTTTGTATGTATCAGTATGTACACTACTTGTTGAGATTCCACTTGCATTGCATTGTCCATTCAGTCCTTTTCATCACATTGCGGAGGTTTGGCTATATATGTACATCGCCCAACTGGGCATGCAACACACAACCTGCTGGGTCTGGACGCGGTGCAGATGCAGCCTCCCCTCCAGCACACTGTCCCAGTAGGCTGCAGGCACAGCCTACTGGGTCTGGACGTGGGTCTCCTCCGGCAAGAAAGTCTGGAGGTGACGGGGCAGTGTACATTCGGGCAGGAGGCTGCATGGCGTGAGTGCTGTTGTGCAGTGAGCAGGAAAGCAGTGCCTGAAGAAAGAGAGCAGCGGCTATGGTGGCTGTAGGGAGCACCAGCCATAGCGGGGTGCAGGTAGGCTGAGTGGCCGAGTGTGGAAGTCAGGGAAGAAGGTAGGTAGTGGGGCTGGCGGTCCTTGCCTGGGGTTGGCAGAGAAATCCTGTATGAGCAGAGTCTTGAGCTGGCATTGGGCGAGTGACACATGGACAGCAAGAGCGGTGGTAGAGGCTAGCATGAGTACAGGTAGTAGGAAGTAGATTAGGGCGGGCGTACTGCAAGTAGGGCTACTACATTGCTGTTCCAATGGTGATTGGAGGCTGAAGTCAGGGTTTCTTTATCAGGAGACTTCAGTGTTCTGTTTCCTCCTAATTGGTGTGCATTCCGCTTTGGTTTTTAACTCGGCTCAATCATGTCTGGTCTTCTGTGAGATTTTGCAATCTGGAATATTGGTATTCTCATTGCGTGGGTCGTGGCAGATTGTTGACTGAGATCGCAGTCCATTTGGTACTCTGATTAATTTCGTGAATTTCTGTCCATTCTATCCTCTATTCGTGGTCTGGACCAGAGTTGAGCTGTTTCTCCCATCTCTCTTGTTTACGACTGCGTTGTTTTCCTGTGGTGTGAGTGGGACTGTATGCCCCAGTATGGTACACTATATTCTGCTATCGTGAAGTGCCTCTCTCTCCCCAGCGCGTCCTTTTCCATGCCCAAAACCACTCTGGTGGTTTTCCCTCTAACTCATGAATTGCTCGTGTTGGTAATTAAAGAGACTGAGCAATTTTGTTTCATTCATTGGAGGGGATTCATTCATTCATTCATTGTGATTATTAGTCATACGAGTCCCACGGGAGGTGTACCATGTGGGACGTAAACGGATGACCTGTTTGGGAGCACCTACACGTGAGTCTGCAAGGGAAACAAAACACAGATGCAAGGGAAAAAATCACAGATGAGGTAAGAGGTCGAAAATGGGCAGGGAAAAAGGCAAAAGATGACACAGGCACGAAGGGGTTTTTGTACTGTCAGGATTTGAAATGCTTCCCTGTTTATAGAAGCTCTACATGAGTCAGTGCAGAAAATTAAACGAAAAATAAACTTGGTAATAAGTTGTTATGGTAACACGACTCCTCTTCTACCGTTTTTGGATTTGAAGTTGAAACTCGTGACATGTTTATCCACAGCTACATGTGCAGGCCATTGATAACTTGGACTTGTTGGATCCTTCCCAAAGCCATCCACCGTCACCAGAGACCCAATCCTTCCTTTAAGGGATTATATACATATAGCTTGTTCACCTCGGTTGGGATAGTATTCTTTTTTTCGTCCTGTTGTCCTCTTCTCTCTCTCTGCCTACGGTTTACCGGGCAGTTCTGTTTGTGACGATATATATTATATTATTATTAGAGAGTACAGGAAAGGCAGATGATGTTGCAAGCACGAGGAGGGAGAGAATGAAGCAGTGGACAATTTTTGATTTACGGGTACTTTCTCTTTTCTCTTCAATTCTGTGGTTTGTTGTTCATGCCCTCTTTCTCTTTCTCTGTCACTGTGATGCTATGCTGGACTCGTGAGTGAATGTTGGAGCTGTTTTATCATTTCCTGAGCAAGGAACATAACACTATAGGCAGAGACGACATTTTGAACAAGAGGGCTACAGAAATGGTGAATGAGAAAAGAGGAAACAGAAGTTGGTCTTGACTCTTGAGCTGTAGATGTCTATAAGACCTTTCAACCCTCTGAACTGTGAACTGTCAACGGCATGCCCTTACACGTGAATAGAATGCTCAGCCCGGTCATTATCGCTGTATCTAGAGCGAAAGTTGGCCCCAAATACAGCTACAACAACCGGGCGTTGTATTCGGGTGAAGACGGTTGGCAGATTTTAGAGTGTAGGTGGACGTAACATCTGTACCCTGCTGCTGACTTGTTAGCCATCTGGCCTGGAAATCGATGGGTGGGCTAGATCCTGCGACAATTAATGCAGCTTTGCTGGGCCCATCGATCTAGCATTGTTTGACTCTGCCACAGAAGTCAATGGATGGGGTTAATGCGTTGACCATTAGTATTCTTGAGAATGATAGTGGTCACTCGGCTTTAGTCCTCGCCTGTTGTGCATCTGTATACCAGCTTTACTCTCTTGTGTGGTTTCTTGTTCCAAGACTATGGAACTGAACTGAGCGACAAATGTATCACTTCAGCTTGCATGGAAAATCTTTTTATTTGTTTGTTAAAGTATTTACTAGTTGTTTAAATGTGGACTATTTTAGTGTTTCTCAATTTATGGGTGTCATCCTTGCGTAGGGGCCATGCTAATCTTCTCGGTATCATTCCAATTTTAACGGGTGTCCCGAAGGACGCATGGAAAATATTTGAAACAGAGCAAACAGTTAAATGAGGGAAAAGGACCAGAGGATAGATAAAGAGAGGAGAGGAGGGGAGGGAGTGGGGAGGAGGGAGAAAGGGAAATGGGTGCAAAGAGGATGCAAAGGAGAATGTGGTTTCAGCCACTCTTCTACTCCAAATCGAAACTACGAAACTGGAACAGACACAACGAAGTACTGAGAATTTTTTGTAACGTGTGTTGTTTTGTGACTGTTCTGATATGCGTTGTCATGTGGGTTGTTATGTGATGGCTTTGTTTCATGTCTTTCGACCGGGTGCATCATGTATGTGGACATTCTGGACGTCCACATGCGCCTCCCCCCCATGATGGCAGAATCAAGCGGATTATGACCAACCTGCAGTGATTCAAGTTCGGGCGTACTGGAATAGGCATGTGGGAAAAGGAACACTGACCGTGGTTGATAAGGTGATGTACAGAATGTGTTTCTTTTTTCTTTTTTTTAATAAAGAACTTGTTTCTTACTTTCTAAGATGTTTTTTTATTATTATTATTTTTTGAAAAGGGCGACAGCCTTGAGATATCATCGTGAAACTGACCGGCCCCAGGTAATTCAGGAATTTTGTTCATCTGGTTCCATCTGGATTCGAACTCAGGTCTGCATTTCCAACAGTTTCTCGGCTTACCAACTGAGCTAAGCCCATTGGTACCCTTTCTAAGATACTTAAAAATTTGTTTGTCAGGATGTTTTGACGAACTCGAGCATGGAAGTAGGAGGGGAAGAAAGGATGCCTTCTTGTGATTCTTGATGTGAATAGCCAGAGCTGACAGGTCCACGGATCGAACCTGAGAAGAATACATGAGAAAGGACAAGCTGACAGTCAATCCTCTTGTAACATGGAGCAATCAATGCTGGTCAGGCATCCTTCGGCCAACCGGAGGGATGTGTGTGTGTGTGTGTGTGTGTGTGTGTGTGTGTGTGTGCGTGTGTGTAATCGATGAAACCTTTTTTTTTTTTTTTTTTAATCAACTTTCAAAAGGAGGCCTGGAATCTCTCCACATCTCAACTCAGTGTACTGGGGCCATTACCCAGCTTTGGCTTGGCTGGAAATCGGATCCAGCGTCCCCATATGCATAATTCTAAACCAAGAAAAAGATGGACAAAAAGGACAAACCTACCCCTAGGTTGCACTGAAGAACCAAAAGAACTGAAACATCTGTGGCATATCTCACCATACTAAACCCTAAGCCTGCCTCTATTTTCCTTCTACCTAACCTCTCCCTCCTCTCTCTCACTCCACAAATCCTCTCCTTAAACCATAAACCCTACTGTTGTTGCTCTTCTTTCCCCTTACCATCGCCTCTTCATCCTCTCTGTTTGCACTGAAATACGAGACCTGACACTTGGATGGTTGCTACATTGACATTCCTCAGCATACTGTGATCAAACCTGTCTTTCATTTTTTCAAATTCTGACTAGAGTTGAGTGCTACCCTAACGAGCCTGACGCCCTAGTCTTGCTCACGTTGTTCCTTATTCTCAAACCAGTGAAAGGCCAATTTGTGCCCTTCAATTGTTGCTATCTTTCCTTTTACCAACACTATCTGCTGAAAAGTTTTAAGTATCTCCCGGGCTTTCAGCGGGTTTTGTTGAGCTTGCCTTCTTGCTCTTTGCCATTGGGCCGTGATATCCGTCTCCAGCAGGTTATGCAGAACTTGCTTGGCCTCCAGTCTGTGCGTTTGTCCCCGTCCTATCGTCCGTTGACATCTACGTTTCCATATGGTCCACAATGCATATTGTCTCAGTAATTGAAACCCTCTTCTCTGTCCCGGTTGCCATGTCTTCGGAGGCTCCATGCCGGTGAGGAGGATCCTGCTGCTCTCTGGGAAGGCCTCGTCTGAGATCTTTCCCCACAGTTCCCTTGCTGCTTTCCACACGTATACCGCCTCCGGGCATTGTAGCAGGCAGTGAAGCAAAGATTCCATCCCTTCATCCGTGCAAAGGTGGCACTTCTGGTTGACCTGATCCCTCCGGTGGTGGCTGCGGCGCTCATACAGCCAAGCATTGATTGGGAGCGCCACATTAAAAATCAGCCACTGTAAGCTTTTGACCCTGCCTAACCTTATGTTGTTCAACGCTGACCACGGTAGTCGAGCGACCTGCATCCTGGGCACTTCCAACCTCCTTTCCCATCGAATAGTCAGTGGTTCTGCCAGTAGGTGAGACCTCCTTCTGAGTCTGTACCCCAGCTTGGTTGTGTAGTGAAGTATGTTTATTCTTCTGGCTAACCTCAGTAGGCCTCCCCTGAGGTTCCATGCCCATTCTGCTGGGTCCACTTCTAAATCCTCCAGAGCCGTAGTTGGAGCATAAATCGTGTAGTTGTCCGTCTCCACCACTCTGACCTTCCGCACTGCGCGTTTTAAGATTGTAATTGGGGAAGTAGATGTCTTATCTAACTGACTGGTGTTGGTCCCTACTTCTTCTATTGATAACATATCAGCCAATAACCATGCATCTCCCGGGCCCGTCTTGCCCCTTATCCTGAAGGCCTCTTCCGGCTTATCCTAGTGTAGCCACGTGGCCCACTCCCTCTTCTCCCATTGCGGCCCCTTCTCTAGCAGATTTACCCATTCTGGTGGGATGGAGATGAGAATCAGGTTTTCTAGCAACTTGTGGGTGCCCTTCATATCATTCCGAAGGTCTCGTGCTGTCTTCCATCGCTGTTTCTCGGTTGACCATAAATGTCTGACCTGCCAGACTCCATGTTCCACCCATGTTCCCCATTTTGATTCTCGTGCTGTTAGGGTACGCGGCTTCCCTTGCTGATCCTTGATCAAGGGATTGCAGACTAGTGGTTAACGGAGCACTTCCTCTCTGTTGCTTGGTTCCCTTGCCCTTGCTGGGAAGATGTCCCCCCAGAGCTTGAGGAGTTGTGCCCAGTAGATCCACCCCTCCCCTCAGTTACCCCGGATATCTCCTCTCCTTCGTCCCTACGTTTCCGCGCCCAGCCTTTGCTCATCACCCAATACAGCCCTGACATGTTGGCAGGTGTTTTGTATTTAGCCAGTCTTCTAATGTGTTCTAAAGCCAGAGGAGCCCATAAAAGCTGAGGATGGGTGATAAGCTTCGAAACCCACTTCGTTTGCAGCGCCTTCACCGACTGCTCCGGGTCCAATATACCCAGTCCCCCTTGCTCCTGCTTGATAACGTGTTTCCAAGCGACCTTAGATATGACATTCTGCTTGCTTGGGTTTGCTGTCCATAAGAAGGCTGCTGATCTTCTTCTTAACTCCCTAATGGACTGGTCCGGTGGTTTCCAGATCGTGCCTACGTACCACAACATCGAAAAAATGGAAGCGTTTAAAATTAGCGATCTACCAAACAGAGAGGTGTAAATTGCTGCCCAAGCACTTAGCTTCGCAAGAATTTTTGCTAGAATCTCTGTAGCCATTGAGTGGTGAGGTCCCATTTCTCCTAGCCTGATTCCCAAGTAACGTAGTGGTTCCTCTACTGTTACTCACTGCATTCCTTCCGGGTTGTTATCCGGTCTCTGTCCTTCTCCTTCACCGTAGTGCAGCCACCATCCTATTGTCTTAGTCCAGTTCATTCTCATTTTCGACGCCAGCTGGAAGGCCAACATTGCTCTAGTGAGAGCCTCAAAAGATGAGCTTGAGGCGCGAATCAGAACCGTCAAATCGTCAGCTAAAAGGAGCGTCGTCGACAATTGGATCAGTCTACCCTGCTGGTCCGGTTCTTCTGTCAAACGTTGGATGGAGGGATCCTTTTTGAGAAATGATGCCACCGCCTCCATTATGAACAGAAAGATGGGTGCTGCTAAGGGGTCTACCTGTCGGACCGATCTCGACATCCTGTAGTTCTGAGACAGGTGACCATTCACCTGAACCTGCCCGTGTGCATCGTTGTATAGCACCCGTATCCATTTCATGAAATTAGGTCCGACCCCCATCCTTTCCATGCACTGCTGGAGGAAACTCCAGTTCAATTGGTTGTACGCCTTCTCAAAGTCGAAGAACAGTATTGCCGCATTGATTCTCCTATCCTTAATGTAGCGTACTGTTCTGACAAGGTCATGACGTTGTCCAAGATAAAACGGCCTGGGATGAAACTGGCCTGATGCAAATGGAAACAGCCCCTAGTTACCCTCCTGAGTCTGCTAGCCAGGACCTTCGCTACTATCTTGTGTGTGTGTCAGCAAGGTAATGGGCCTGTAATTCCTTATGTCTTCAGGGTCCCCCTTTTTGTACAGCAAGGTGACGATCCATGTGGCCGGATCCTTGGACGTGGTCATAATGGCTTATATGACACCCTAAATAATTCTCTTCATTTTCAATTAGGGCTTGCACTTTCTAGGTATGCCACATATTCGCTCCCTAGGATTGGCCAAAATTCAAGCCAAAATTCCTTGTCAAGCCACCTTTTCCTGGAGTCTTGTTGGGTGACATTGACTTTAGTGCTTCTCACAGCTCCTCCTGAGTGAGTGGGGCTTCTAGCATCTCCGCCTGTGCACTAGGCACAGTCTTCTCTAGGTGGGCTAAGAACTTTGATCTGGCTCCTTGCACCTGCTGTTGCGAGTGCTCCGACTCTCTTCAAGTGTACAAGGTGCTATAGAATTGCTGTGCCACCGCGACCATCTCCTCCGCTGTTGACACTTGCCCTTCAGGTGTTTGAAGCCGTTCTATTGTTGAGCTCGGTCCTTTGGTCCGAATTTTTCTGAAAGAAATATTTCGACATTCTTTCTCCCTCCTCCCACTCCTTGACTCTTGCCCTCATCTGCAGCCCCCTGATCCTGCAGTGTTCCCACGCTCCCAATTATTCCCTTGCTGCCTGCCATATTCTCTCGTACAACTTTGCGCTTGGGTTCCTAGCGAGGTTACGATCTCCTATACGCAATGCCTGCTGGAGCTCTGTTTCTCGGGCCTTCCTTTTGCTCGCTAGCTGTCTAGCCGCTGTCATCATTGCTCGGCTGATAGCGTTTAGGAGCTCTGGGAAGGACTGATTGCCCGGGTCGTAGTTGAGGCAAGGTTGCAAAATGGCCTGCCTTATTTCCGGGGATTGGAGAATCGAGTTATTTACCTTATAGAACCCTCTTCCTCTCCTGACTTGCTTATCTGTGGTTGAGTATAGAAAAATGGGTTTGTGGTCTAATCCACTGAAGTGAGGAAAGTCGCCTGTACCCACTGAGTGGATCATACCTATGACCGTCTGAGAGATCAAAAAGTAGTCTATTCTCCATGCAGAGACGTGTTGACTCCTATCCCTCTTGTAGTAGGTAAACTGCCTATCCTCAGGAAAATACAATCTGTAGGGATCAATCGAGTCGAGAGAAGTCATCATGTTATGAATTGGGAGTGCCTCCTCTCCTAGTGCGCTCTCCCACGCGCTGTGTCCCCCTGACATTCTATCCCGAGCCGGTTCCAATGTGGCATTCCAATCCCCTGCTATTGTGA